CAATTATCTGTGATGAAAAGGTACTCACGGTGTGTATACTACTATTATTACTATTTCACGGACCAAGAGATAACGATGGTCTCGTCAACGCAAGGTAACTTACTTTTTCTTTTCCATCTCAGGGAGGTCCGTTTTTGAATACCTTTCTACAACCACCTACAATATGTAATAAGGAATAAATAAATTAGATTACTATTGTAACCTGTCACATTAAGGAATATCTCAAGTATACCTGTAGGCAGTCACATAAAGAATCTGTCTAGAGAAAGGACAAAAGAAAAGAGGGTACACAAAATTTTTGAATGCACCTTCCATAGGGAAATTTTTTTGANGTCACATTAAGGAATATCTCAAGTATACCTGTAGGCAGTCACATAAAGAATCTGTCCAGAGAAAGGACACAAGAAAAGAGGGTACACAAAATTTTTGAATGCACCTTCCATAGGGAAATTTTTTTGAAGTTAAGGATTCTACTATTAGTACACAAACTTATAGCTCAAAAACACATATATTAAGAGATAATGGTAATATTTGTCAACTGATCAGGTCATCAATGATTAAATGCATCCAGCTTCTAACATCTGAACATCAAATTTTGCCTGCTCTCATTTATCTAGCATGTCTAACTTTTTCCAATCCTTTTAGCACAATCCAGAAGTTTTAAAACTATTAGCAAAACCTGCAACCTGATGCCATTAGCAAAACCATGCAAGTCTTAGGTGCACATTTAAGGATTACTACTTCCGTTGGTTCTGACACAGAATGAAGTGAAGAATAAGAGGTTGATTAATGGCTCAAAACAAGGGAGAGTGGGTTTAGGTTTTGCTTCAGATTTCCAACAAAAGTGCTCTGCAAACTCAGAAATTCATCAGACTGGATAGAAAAGACAGAAAAGCAAGAGCCAGAAAAACCCTACTTCATGAGTTCTTACCGAAGGATCACATTCAAATAAATTCAATGGCGAACCAATTTATTTCATTTCACCCAAGAGCCTCATTTAAGAAGCGATTAACCTAAACCTCGAAAAAGTTGGCCCATTCGATAATCTTACAACACCAGGCTCAAATTAAATCGAAATAGACAATTCTCTGCAATAAATCTGCTGGATTGCAGAGCCAAGAGAAGCTAATCATAATTAAGAAGGAAAAAATTGAAAAAAGACCTTCCCTCCCCTCAACATACTCAAATTGATATCGAAGTTTCCACTAACGATCGAGCATCAATTAAAAATAGGTAAATAGTGAATTTAGAAAAAAGATCCATGTTAATGGAGGATGTAAAGACGGTAGATCCAACATTTGGTGATGATGGAAAGGGTGGTGGACGGACTTACGGGCACTCTATCAGGGTATTTGGCGGTGATATCTAGTGATTCTTCGCATCGTTCCTCTGCAGACAAATTTATGTACGGCAAGGATTAGATACATAAAGCTAAGAATAACAACATAATTGTAGTGTAGGTCATCGGAAATTGAATTGAATTCATGCGGGTAAACAGTTTATTTAGACGAACTGAACGTAAATTCTTCTTTGAAAGATTTCATCTTCATCCTCCCCATCTATGGCTATGACTATAAGCCCCTGTCCTGTCCTGTTGTATCATCCACAGAGAGAGAAACAGAAGAGACGTAAGCGACTAGAAAGAACAGAACAGCTGGATAACGTAAAGGGCTTTTCTCACTTTGCACAGATTTTTTTTTCCAGTCACTTTTAAAAATTAAATTTTCCTCATTATACTATTCATGATCAAAAATATTATAGCGCGAACTTTTTATTATTTTGGGAGAATTATACCTAAATTTCTTAAAATTTGTTACTTAATCTCTCATATCCTTGACATTTGAAATATTACATACAAATCTCCTAAGGTTTGTACCTGCTCCTATCGTCAAATATTTGTTAGTAAATTATATTCATATTTCCTAAAGTTTATAAGTGTATAATATTTAAACCCGTCAAGTTTAAAATATTATACTTAGACAAAAAATATTCAAATCAAAAATAAAATATTAAATATTTTAAATTTTACAACCAAAATTCATGTCCAATTGTATCATTTATTGAAATAAAACTCTAATTTTTTTTAAAAATTTCGTAATTAGTATATAATTAACTTTGATTGGAGTAATTGAGTATTTTAATTTAGTATGACCAAATTAAATTTTAATAAATAGTATAATTGTACATTAATTATAATTTCTTTTTTAAAATAATTTTTTAATTTTAATTTTATTTTAATAAATTTTATAATAGAACATGAATTTTGGTTGTAAAATTTAAAATATTTAATATTCTATCTTTGATTAAAATTTTTGTTGTTTAAGTATAATATTTTAAATTTAAAAAGTCTAAATATTATATACTTATAAACTTCAGGAGTTATAGGTGTAATTTATTAATAGATATATTAATTAACATCGGTGGTAGAGGTCTAAGTTTTATTCACGTATAAATCTCTGGGGGTCTATGTATATTATTTTAAATGTCAAGGAATCTAAGTGATTAGATGACAAACCTCATGGAGTCTGTATATAATATTTTAAATGTCAAGTAATATGAGTGATTAAGTAACAAATATCATGGAGTCTGAGTGTAATTTTTCCTATTATTTTTTATGTTAAAAATTAACTTATTGACAGTAAAAAAAACTAACAGAATAATCATATTATAACACTTTTGATATATTGAAGGTATTATATGACAAATTTAATTTTTGATAATATAAAATAAGAATATTAAAATATTTCAGGGTACAAAGTGAAATTTTTAGTTAGCTTTGAATTGAAATAATATTGTAGTAATATTTTATCAAGCAACCCTTTTATACACATTCTGCGGGGATAGCTCAGTTGGGAGAGCGTCAGACTGAAGATCTGAAGGCCGCGTGTTCGATCCACGCTCACCGCATTTCCACTTTTGTTTTGCCCTCAAACTGAAAGTTTCCGATTTCTTCCATTACTAATAATAATTCATGCCTAAAGATGCTAGAAAATATAAATAAATTGAACATTGTGTAGTATATTGTAGTATAAATATATGAAATAATAATTTATTTTTTCTATAATCACACAATTTAAAAACAATCTTGTCCCACTATTTTAAAAGTATGGTTGGGTGGAATTTTTAATTTTTAGAGAATTTGGCTTTAATTAACGTAAAGAAGTATGATTTTTCAAAAAAAATTTGTGATGATTTTCAATCATTAGATTGAATGCATTTCAGCCGCTCGTATGCCAAGCTAATCTAAAATAATGGATTCAAAATGAGTCGTGTTTTATTATATAGATTATTTTCATACAAACTTATCAAATCATATTAAGATTTTTTGCATTTATGTTTTTACCAAAATTAGTGAAAATATAGTTTCTATGAGCAATATAATTTATAAGAGTTTAAGTATTTTTTTTTGTAATTAAGAAGTTTCTATTCTTTATTACTTGATCTTTACCGAAAAAATACTAAACAAACAAATATTTATTGTCTTATAATATCTAGAGTTTTTCAATATTTTAAAATTATTTTTCAGCTATTTTATTCGTTTTGTAATTGGCTAAAGTTATGTTAAAAACAAGTGAAAATTGGGACTGTGTCATTCTGAATGGATTTATAATGACTTGAATTCATTAAGAAAACTTATTTTGTGATAAGTCCGTTTTTTATTTTACTAATAAATACTTAAGTCTACTTTTTTTTAAATCCCAAAAATACTCTTAACAGTGTTATTATGTTCAATTATAAAAACTTTCAAGATTTTTAAAAATCTTGAAAGTAACTTTAAATTAATTTCTTAAATTATAAATTATTATCTCTTAACTAACTCTTAAATTGAAATTAAAATTTATATTCTTTATCTCTCTCTCTAGCTATCTCTCATTAAAAGAAAATCATCATTCTAGTACAACAATATATGTCTCCTCAATATCATTTCTTCATTCATAGCATCAAAATTAGTAGGGGTTTGAACATTATCAAAAATTACCATATATTCTACTACATTTTTGTCATCATAAACTTCTATGTTGTTGGGTTTTGCAGCAAAAATGTTAAAAATTTTGATCAATGTGTCATTAGTTTGATCTCCAAATTTTTTCAATGTTTCATGTTACTATGTTTTTTGTTGATCATGTTACTATTTTTTTTTCATATTACTATTTTTTATTGAAAATGTTATTACTTTTTTCGGTGTTTCTTTTTTGGATGCTAAATAATTAGAGATTTCTTCATCTGGTTATGAGTTTGAATGCTATTATTTTTATTTTCAATTTTTTATATTGCTATTTTTTTTGTTGAGCATGTTACTATTTTTGTTAAGCATGTTACTATTTTTTTTTAACATATTACTATTTTTGTTGAACATATTACTATTGTTATTTTTTTAAACATATTAATATTGAATGCTACTATTTGTTTATGTTTAAATGTTACTATTTTTTTTTATATTTAAAATGGTATAATTTTTTGTATTTGAATGTTATTATTTTTTAGTTTTAATGTTAATATATATATATATATATGAGAGAAATTTTTTTAATGTTAATCAAACTCCTAAAATTTAAGAATTTTTAATTTTTAATTTTAATTCACTTATAAATGGGAGGGATAATATGATAAAATTAATAAAAAATAAATTTTATTGACAGACTTAAATCCAAATAAGTATATAAAGAGAACTGCCTTCCAAATTTTCCCAAAAAACAACGAATTATATTGCCACGAAGAATTCATAAATCTTCCTTCTTTGGATGCCTTTCTGAGTGGACGCGGCCCACAAAAGGATGCCCCGACCAATGACCAAAATGGGCCAAAACCGCCCAACATAGGTCTAACGGATCTATTGGACGACGCCTATTTAATGACTAGTCCAGCACATTAACCCTTCAATACTGCAAGCAAAGAAAGAAGGTTTGTAAGGCTCAGCTCTCTCAGCAGACACAGAGACCCACAGGTGAGGGGAAGAGAGTAAAGAAGAAGAAGAAGCAGCAGCAGAAGCAGTAGTAGTTATGGCTGGGAGGAGTAGCGAGTGGCGTCTGCAAAGAGGGCAGTACCTGGGAGAAATCTCAGCCCTCTGTTTTCTCCACCCACCGCCTTCTGTCTCTTGTCTTCCTTATCTCCTCGCCGGTTTGTTCTTTTTTTCATCTCTCTTTCGTAGACTCACATTCTATCATTATGCACAATCGCACGCAAACAAATACATCATATTCTTTGATAGAATTTTAGGAACTTGAAACAGAGGCCACCGCCACTCTTCGTACAGAAAGAAAGATATGGTGGAATGCATAAACTACTCTGAGAGGACACACCAGCAGTTGAACCATGGCTTCTAATAGTGCAAAAGACCCTTCTAGGTCTGGTCATTGATAGAAAGATAACTCAAATAATTGCACATATGCTTCTCAGTGTGATTTAATAAAGGTCACCTTCCACAAACAACTAAAGCTCAAAGATCAGGAGATTTTTAATTTGCCATTGTGAGTTCTGCAGATTATGCAACTCGTGACTGTCTTCTTGCGATCTTTTTTGCAACAGGAACGGGTTCACAACTTCTGCTTTATGATTTAGTGACAGGAGTGATGATAAGATCGTTTCAAGTTTTTGAAGGAATACGTGTTCATGGAATTTCTTTAGAGAAATTTCATCAACAATCGTCCTCTTCTGCACTTGCCGTCAAGATTGCTGTCTTTGGTGAAAGAAAAGTGAAAATGTTCTGTTTACGTGTTGAAATAGTGAACAATTCGCAAAATAAGCCTCAAGTATCCATGGTGGATTTGATTCTTTTGCTGTCACTGCCAAAGTTAAATCATTGGGTGTTGGACGTTCGCTTCTTAAAGGTAAAAATGGTCATGTTTTCAGGTTAATTATGCTCTTACTTTAGACCACTTCTCTCTAATAACTTGGAATATCCAATTCTATTATGCTAACTCTACTAATCATTCAAAATTTCTTTTTATGTGATCTTTAAAATTTAATTTCTTATTGTGCTTATTCTACTAATTTACATTTGAATTGGTTGTAGGACTCGGTGTCTTCTTCGCATGAGGAGAGCCAGTATCTTGCCATTGGGTGTAGTGATAACTCTGTATGTTTCTGGAATATTTTAAGATCAGATTTCATTTTTGAAGTCAGATGTTCAGGTTGGTTCATATAATAAAAAGGGTTATATTTTCGGGACTATCTAATTATGTTTGCAATGTTTGTCTTTTTTTTTTTTTAATTAATTTGCTTAGGTTTGCAAGTGTCTATCTTTATGTGTCCCTTTGATTTTACGTACCACAACTTCCCACTCTTTATGCTGTCCACTAAAAAAATTCAANACATGAATTTTGGTTGTAAAATTTAAAATATTTAATATTCTATCTTTGATTGAAATTTTTTTTGTTTAAGTATAATATTTTAAATTTAAAAGGNCTCTTTATGCTGTCCACTAAAAAAATTCAAAATTATAGTTGCGGTGTAGTATATCTTAAGATCAAGATTTATGTTTGGGTGTTGAGTATTTCACATTCTCGCCTCAATTTGCTTGAAACTTGGGATAAGACTTTGGTATGCCGAATGTGTCGATATTAAGTCACATTGAATATTTTTTGTGCGACATGACTTCTTGTTGTGTGTTTTCACCTTTTGTTTTTCGCTTTTTATTCATTTGTAGAGAAGTGTCTGTTGTATTCCATGCGGATGTGGGGTGATGAAGTTGAAGCTCTCCGTGTTGCATCTGGAACTATTTATAATGAGGTAGTGAAAATCCCCCTTTATTGGTTTTTCCAGAAATTATCACTTNTGTAATTTATTAATAGATATATTAATTAACATCGGTGGTAGAGGTCTAAGTTTTATGCACGTATAAATCTCTGGGGGTCTATGTATATTATTTTAAATGTCAAGGAATCTAAGTGATTAGATGACAAACCTCATGGAATCTGTATATAATATTTTAAATGTCAAGTAATATGAGTGATTAAGTAACAAATCTCATGGATTCTGAGTGTAATTTTTCCTATTATTTTTTATGTTAAAAATTAACTCATTGGCGGTCAAAAAAACTAACAGAATAATCATATTATAACACTTTTGATATATTGAAGGTATTATATGACAAATTTAATTTTTGATAATATAAAATAAGAATATTAAAATATTTCAGGGTACAAAGTGAAATTTTTAGTTAGCTTTGAATTGAAATAATATTGTAGTAATATTTTATCAAGCAACCCTTTTATACACATTCTGCGGGGATAGCTCAGTTGGGAGAGCGTCAGACTGAAGATCTGAAGGCCGCGTGTTCGATCCACGCTCACCGCATTTCCACTTTTGTTTTGCCCTCAAACTGAAAGTTTCCGATTTCTTCCATTACTAATAATAATTCATGCCTAAAGATGCTAGAAAATATAAATAAATTGAACATTGTGTAGTATATTGTAGTACTAGTAATTGCCCGTGCCTGAAGGCACGGCGTAACGAAAAATTAGATTAAAACTCTAATTTACCATAACGTTATCATAATTTACCATACCACCACAATAATTAATACATATTCAATCATCAACACATATCCAACCACCAAAACATCAAGTTAATCCCTACTAATTTCAAGAAATTTATGCAGAATTTCTTTTAAAAATAGATATACAGAAAAATATAAACCTGTCTACAAAACTTACAATCATCACTACATACCCAAACCACCAAAACAACCATCATTCCATACCCAAAATCATCATAATTATGTATAATTAGTTAACTTTACAAAAGACGGAACACAAAAAATACACACATACACAAAATAAAGAAACAACTTCATATTCTTTACAACTTATACCAAGTATCCTTCAATGTATACCTGAAAATATTTGAAATATAAAAATTATCGAAATAAGTGAGTCAAAATAAAACAATTGTAAATCCGAAACATAAGACCCCTTACTTTTTTCGTTAGTTGGATTCAATAAAATTAATTACATTACCCTGGAATGATTTAGATTGATATAAGTAAGAATTTAGAGAGTTTGTAACAAATTATCAATTTATTTAGGAAAATATATGGAGGAATGTAGAGACTTACAATCAAATAAGATTTTCTTAGTATCATTTCAACAGACGGTTCATTTGCTTAATGATTTCAATCATAAATCTGTATTAGTGACAATATAATGGTGTGTGAGTTTGATTTGCGAGTGTTTGATTGGTTACAGTTATGTGTTTGTGTTTGTGCATGTATTGTGTGTTGTGTGTCTACATGAGAATAGAGAAATATAGAGTCTTAGTAAGAGAGATTTTCATACCTAAACAATTGTTTGGTCAGTGATGAGTTAGTCATCGTCAAAGGTGGACAGGTCGGTAATGGATTACATATCATTTAACTCTATTAAATGTCTTATTCATCCCTTTAAACCTTCTCTTCATCACTATCCTTAATGTCCTCGTATCAATACGAACGCACTTTGCCCAATGAGGAGAATGCACAACCACCTAAATTATTCACATAAACAATAAAAGTAACACAAAATATTTATGAAAAGTTGTAAGTCTTAAAAGTACTTTTAAAAAGTCATTTCAAATGTACTTTTAAGGACCTAATTTAAAAACCAACAATTGAACACTAAATTCATCTAAACCAACTAAATAATTTAAAAAATAGCAATGAGGGATGTTGCATATTGGCCAACGAAATTCGTCTAAACCAACAGAAGCATCTTACTACAACATGAATAATCTTAGATTCATTGTAAGGATGCTGCATCTGTTGGCAATAGATTGGCCAAGGAGGCTAATAAAAAATAGCAATGAGGGATGCTGCCCAATATTCTAGGCAGAGCATCTTTATGTTTTCCTAGAAATTCAAGCCCAATGCATCCTTTAAAATGCTCTGGAAGGCATCAAAAGATGTCTTTACGGTAACAAAAATGAACCTTAAAGTGCACAGTAATCCAGCAATCCTTTGGCCCACCTTTTCATTGCAAGCAAATTATACATCCACACACCATACACACCCACACATATGATGGTCAACAACTACCTTTGCAACTGCCTTGGGAGGGTAGTCTCAAATTTTACTGAATCTTCACATCGGAAAGATCCAAAAATTTTACTAAATATTGTGTTATAAACTTTACCATTAATAAACAGATTAAGTGCAAAACAGGGGCTGTCATAATGAAGAGAAATAAGTAACTTTAATAAGCATCAAACATCAACTTGCAGGGAAAAAAAAATTAGGATGTCGGGGCTGTCATTTCAAACTTCAAGGAATTTAGTATAGCAGATTTGATTTGCAAAACCTGGAATAATAGATCAAAAAGTGAAAAGATCACAAAATTCTGTACACACAAAATTATGTACACTTAAAAAAAACATATCAAACCAACACAATACAATAAAGTAAACATTTTTGCAATTGATCGAGTAAATAAGCAAACATTTTTAATGGAATTACGCAGTTGAAATACATCAGTTCAGGGAAAAAAAAAAAAAA